TAATATTATTTATTAATATATTTTATTAATAAAAAACCAAAATATAGTTAATTCTTTTGCTTTGTTCCTAAACTCTCAAGAACGATGTTTTCTTTTTTATAAAGAAAAGACAACCATATTTAGGTAATGAACGTCATGGATTATTCTTTCCAATATGATTTCTTGGTTTTTATTCGTTTATGCATTAGCTGTTGATACTGTGGATTGTAATCTAAAATATCAATACGACAATTATTTGATAGCAAGTGCTGTTGATCCTGACCAAACAAGGTCAATGGTTATAACCAAAAATGGTAGTGTCTTTAGTATTGAAAAAATTGGCTTGTCATTTGTTGTAACTGAGGTGGTTACCAATTTAACAGTAGACCATCCTTCTTTCATGTGTTATGAAAAGAATATTTTTATTTGTGATTCTAGAAATGGAAGTTGTTATTCAATAATGACAGGTAGTTCTGACAAGTTATTAACTATGGAAACAAATATTACTGGACTAGGAGAGTCAGTGATAATTAGTGGGGATTATGGAATAATAGGGTCTATTTATGAATATTATAAAGGATATTCTTGTGGTTGTGTTAAAGTTTATGGATTAAATGGAGTATACATCCAGACATTATGGCCATTAAAGCCACATGATGATATGAAATTTGGACAAAGACTAGCTTCAAATGCAAATTTTCTTGCTGTAGGAAATGGGGAAAATACTGTTGATCTTTTTATTTATCGTAATAACAAATTTGAATATCACTCAACATTAACCTCTCCTTTAACAGGGATTCATGATAATTTTGGTAGTTCCATTTCTATCTTTGGTTATTGGATTGCTGTATCATCAAGTTTAGGAAATGAATTTAATGGAATAGTATTTTTATTCAAGTACAATGAAACAATAGATACTTTTGAATTCTATCAACAACTTACAACCCCATATGATGATGTTGATTGGTTTGCTTCAAAGTTTGGAGAGTCTGTTCAATTTTTTGGAACTAGACTGATTATTTCAGCTCCAAACCTCTCTGTTTATGGAATGGATTCTGTAGGAAGTGTCATTTTCTTCATATTAGATAATAACAAATTTGTTCCAGAAAAATGGGTTATACCTTCACTCAGAAAAAATAGCATGCAGTTTGGTTCTATCATTCAAAAGCAAATTAATACAGTATTTATATTCACTAATGAATTAAAACCCAAAATGTGTCAATTCAAAAACAGTTTATCTGAAACACATGAAATTATTTTTAAGTTAAGTTTAAATATTACTGAATCAGATAACATCACATCATTATTTACTCAAATAACATTTAATGTTGCCAATAGTCTTAGTATCAATAAAAATAAGTTTGCTTAATATTTCTTTCTTACTAAAATTATTAATTATTCACTATTCCGTAGAATCTTTTGTGGAGTAAGTCAAACTATTATAACAGATACTTCTGAAATAAAAAAAGTTTATATCAAAATAGAAGGAGAGAATGTCTCAAAACTTTCAAGTGTTACTGATTATTTAGGGGTTTTGGTTGATGACTTATTTTCTCCAACAAGCCATGACTTTATTATTTCAGATCGTCAAAAACTTCATTTAAACATTATTTCACCAATATCTATAGAATATAACTGAAAAAAAAATAGCTTTTGTTTGAGTTATCTAAACACTAACACAAAAAAAAGTTACAATAGATAAGAAGAAAGCAGAAAGAAAAGAACAAGAAATAAATAATTACCATAAGTTTAATCATTTTTATTATTTTTCTATTAATTCTTTTGTATTGTTTATTTTTTCAACTATTTTATTCTCTTTTTTTCTTTCTTAAATAGAGGTATTTCTATGGTTAAAATATAATCAATACATTTTTCATTTAACAGTAAATAACTTAAAAATTAACTATAAAACATGCTGATAAATTTTTAAGTATATTCTTTTTACTTTTTATCAATAATTTATTTCGTGAATAAGTCATAAAAAAGAAATTATTGATAAAAACAAGAAAAGAAAAAATTAAGAGAAACTTAGAATTGAAATAATCAATGTCTTCTCAACCTCTTCGTCTAAGTGACGTCATCAAAATAACAATTTGTGGAGGTTCATATCCCCCAGATATTGACAAAGTAAAATCAATATCAGATTTTATGAGGATGAATGTAGAAGCTCCATTAGGATTGTCTGAACAATCAATGTTATTAATGAAAAAGTATAAACATAAAGAGTTAACAGAAGTTCAAATGTTATGTCTGTTAGAAATTATCGATTATACAGTTAAGCATCAGTCTGTATTTAGAATAGAAGTAGGTGAACTTGAATTTATACGACATATGCAGATATTAGCAAAATTTAAAGTTTGTATTGTTTTAGTGTAAATGAATAAAAATACAAAAGAATTAGAGATATTAATTTCATAGAAAGAAGGTGTGTTAGATGAAATTCAAATGAAAGCAAGAAAAATGATTGCAGAATGGGGGTTTGAATTTCCATATGAATTAAATGAGTATATGAAAATATATGAAAAGAATAAAAAGGCATTTAATTGTCTTGATATTCAAATGAATTATCCACAATTAACTGAAAATTTAGAGCAAATAGAATTTGAAAAGTATGTACATAAAATTCAAAAATGTATAAAGAAATGTTCTGTTCAAATGATCTCACCAAATGAACACTTTGATTCTGTGTTAGAAGAAGCAAAAAAGTTATCAAAGTTTGTTAAGAATAAATGAAAGATTTAATATAAAAAAAAGAGTAATACTTAAATTAAAACTTAGAAAATTTGAAGAATTAATTGAAAATATTAACGGTTTTAAAAAGAACGAATATTCAGACTTACTGAGTATTTTAAATGATAAAAGACACCGTCTTAATGAAATGAAAAAAGTTAAACCAACAAGTCAACATGGATATTTATCTTTAAATGATATAGAACCTAAAATTTCAAAAACTAAACAAAACCCTCACCATCATCACAAAAAAAGAAAAGAAAGTGCTCCATTTATTGATATTAAACCAATTCAACAAAATGAATACCAACAAAAACAATCATCACAAGAACCAATGAATATTTATTCTATTCCCGATCCAAAAACCCCTCGAGAAACATCATCTCACTTTGTCACAGTACCAACAAATAAAGATAATGTTCCAATGTATTGTGTCGAAACTGAAATAAAAGAACCTCATCTTCATAAAATACATTTGGCTTCACCTCCAAGAAAAAGAGCTATGAGTGCAAGTGCTCAAGCATTACCGTATTTAGGAACAACAAACCAAAACGTTTCATTACTTTAAAAAATTAATTAATTGCATTACCAGTGAAGTAATTTCTCTATATTTATTTGATAAATCTAAGACAAGTTCTTTTTATATTATTTTGAAAAATAGATTAAATCGTATTTTCTCAAATAATTTTTTAAAGAAATCATAATATTCACCAGTTAAATATATCACTTCTTTTTTTTCTTTTATTTCTTTCTCAAAAAAAGTATAACAATACAAGACAGCCAATTACATTAAAAGGTTTTAATAATATTATCTAAAAAAGAATTGAATTAACTTTTGATGTTTCCCCCTTGAAGAACCGACGAAATTAAATTGAAAAGATGTTGTTTTGAAGTAAAACCAAAAAATAAAACTTCCAAAATGTTCGGTTTTTGAATATATTTTTATTTTCTACGAAGAAATAATTCAATTGAGACTGCCGACTCTTTCCAAATTGTTCTTGATTAATATGAAATTTCCTTTGTAATGGTAGCACTGAAAATCCTAAACAGAATGAGCACTTTTAAAACACACCGTGATTATCAAGTGTGTGTTCAATGTACACTTATTGCTTTATTGAATGAACAATACTCGTTTCTTATTCAACGCCCAGTTAAAAAAGGTAATCTTTCTCTACAATTAATTAATATCAGAAGAATAGAACTTAACAAAGACTGGATTGATGTTGAAGCCTTTGTAAATAAAAGATGCCAAGATCGAATTACTTTTGATATTTCAATAGGAATTCCTTCAGAAACAGCAAAACAAAGAGTTTCTAAGAATAAAATCTTTGAGCAAATACATTTACTCATAGATCTATCCTTTGTTATGGGATATTCATTTCGTTCTTCATTCACCAATGGAAATAACCATTCAATGATATATGAAACTGTAGTAGAAATATATCACAACAATATACTTATACTTTCAACTCAAGAAATTGAGTCAGTTGGAAATAAAATAAATGCTTTAATCTATGATCGTTTGAGTAAACAACATTCAATAACTCTAGAACAAAAAGACACACAAATAATTTCTTTATTACAGACTCAATTTAATCGTTTCTGAGTAAAATCTTGAAAAACAGAAAAAACATTTCATCATTCAAATTTTTGTTATTTGTTTTTTCATTTTTAAGAATTTATGATTTCCGAAAGAGTCGTTACAAACTTCTTTTTTTTTCTATTTTTTCTTTTTTATTAAAATGATTGGAAAATTAAGAAAAAATACTTAATTTAAAAGTAAGAACTAAGGAAAATGCTTTAGTCCAAAAGTCCGTTTGTGTCGCCATCATCTAATAGTTCTACATTTTTTGATGTCGAAGGCAGTACCCTACAATCCATTCAATGTTCATACTAAAAATTTTAGTGGAAAGAGATTGTCACCTCGTGAGTCTTCTAAAAAAGAAGTCAAACCTAAGTCTCCATTTAAAAAAGAAATAAATTGGACTTTTCTTGAAAGACTTGATTTGAAAGAATTTGACAAAGAGGTTGAAAGAATAAAATCTCGTAATGAGTTACGTTCAAACGATGAACTTCAAATTAAAAAATTAAGAAGAAAAATACAAAATAGATGGTCTTCTAAGTGTAGTAGGGAAAAAAAGAAAGATAAATTTATAGAAATTCAACAAGAACTTATTAAATATAAACAAAAATGTATTTCTCTTGAACAAGAAAATAAACATCTTAAATTACTTATAGAAAAATCTTCTTCATTTTCAGAACCATTTCTTTCAAATAAGAATAAGTTTAATTCTCAATAGTTGTTTATATTTTTTATGAACTTCATTTTTATTAATAATTTTTTTTAATAAAAAATATCTTATATGTATGTAACTTAAGAATCAAATATAAGAAAGGAAGATGAGTTAGACTCTTTAGTTTTGAAATTTTTTATGTTTTATTTAAAGAGATGGGGGTTTTCATTAATGATGAATACTTGTTTATAATTAGAATTATGTCATTTTTCCTTTTTAGCTTTTCTGGGTAATGGTAAATGGCATTTTTTTGTTTTATTAAAATTATTTTTATTTCCTTGTCTTATAACATGATAATGAAGTTTTATAAAGACAAAAAACAATTAACTAAATGTTAATAGAGTGAATTTCTATTGTTTCTAGATCAATTGAGAATAATCAAATTTATGAAGTATTACCAAGTAATTTTATGGAGTATGTTTGTTGTGATAGACTCAATATTCTATATTATTCATCATGTTTGAAATAACAATGTTTGTATCTTTCTTTACATTGTCATTTTCTATTTTTATTTCTTTATTTAATTTATTATTCATTTATTTCAATTTGTTATTCAATTATTTTTACATCTCTTATATCTCTTTTTTCTTTATTTCTTTTATTCAAATACAATTAATTAATATAATAATACTCAACATCATTCATATCTGTTATTAGATTAGTTTTATTCTTTTTTATCCAATTACTTACATTTGAGTATTTCTTTCTTTTATTACTTTTGTATTGTATTAAT